AATATAATATAATATGATATGATATATTATAATATAATATCATGTAATACAAGAATACTCATACAACATATTATGATGTAATATTATGTATGATAACGTAATGTAGTACAAGATAGTATAGGTATACGTGCAAAAGACCACCATCTTTGATGAGAAATGTCTTCGTAGAAGCCCTCTAAAGTCTTAGCAAAGAGCCTTTGCAAGAGCGGTTGGCATGCACCTAATTACATGTCAAGATCCTAGGGTTCCATCACCATCGGCCAGCACATGGGTCGACAGGTCTTGCAACTAAGTGTTGCGACGAGAACTATCAATCCCACGTCAATGGTGCTGCCTAGCGCTCTGGTGCCACCGCGTTACTGGGACGTGTACTATTCGGGGCACGTCAGCACGATGCATGCAAGTGCATTATCTGTGAGGCGAAGGTGAAGCAGGGGACGACCGCAGCTTGCACCGCTACCGCTGCGCCACTTGCAGGAACTGATGGCTGGTGGCACGCATCATTACAATTCATTACAGGCGACTCTCCGGTCCCGATATGCCTCCGTCCTCATGCATCTCGTACCACTTGGAGATACTTGCATGTTAAGAACATGGCACGTTCAGCTGATATGTTGGAAGAACCTGGGCAGAAAAGGACGGTTCAGGGTTTAGGGTTTGGGGTTTAGGGTTTAGGGTTTAGGGTTTCATACTGGGCCGCGGTCCACCAAAGGTGTCCAAACAACACCACACGAATCGGCCGGTCTCATCGACCAATGCGCCAAACCTCGACTGGTCTGATTTTGGCTTAGGGGTTTAGGGTTTAGGGTTTAGGGGTTTAGGGGTTTAGGGGTTTAGGGGTTTAGGGGTTTAGGGTTTAGGGTTTTGGGGCTGGATAGTGGGGTGTAGGGCCGGTTTTACTTGGCTTAGGGTACTCCGCATTTCAGCTGGAGACTGCTCGCGTGTAACACAGCCTGCTCGGGACATTGACATATTTGGGGGTTTCCGAAAATAGGGAACCCTAATATAGTACCCCAAATAATGGGATCCTTATTATAAGGACTCCCAAAATAAGGTACCCTAATTTTCGGAAACTCCCATTTTCTGGCAGCGAAGGGTTGAACTGCTCTGGGAAGCTGGCATGCCATTGCCCACCACTGCCAGATCAACGGTCGACATGGCGGAAGCTTCTGAGGGAACATGTCCATGGAAGTGTCGGGACTTATTTTCCCTTTCGCGCAGATTCGTGGACTTCAGGTGCAAGGAAGGGCTGAGGACTTGCTGCTGCAGGGGTCTGCCAGAACTGCATGCAAGGACTAAGAGTTGAATTTCTGAATCTCAATGCCTCGGCTGCCATCACTTTGTTGAGCTTGCTGTTTCTGGTTTCGATGTCATCGTGGCTGCTCTTCGTTCTGCTTCTGCGATGCTTGGATGATCAGTACGAGGCTTTTTCGTGTCGCTTGGCATGAGCCTCTGCCATTATCTAAGCTTTGTGCTGCCTGAGGATCTGCTCACCTGCCGACCGCGTTAGGCCAAGCGGCGAGGCGGGCTGAACCGGGAATGCGCATGCAGTTCAAAAGCATGGAAAGTTTCAGAAAACAAGGGACCTAGGCATAAATCAAAATAAGAGCATCCTTGTTAAAGGGACCCTTGAAATAGGACCCCCGCCCTGGTAACG